TACTACCGTATGAATCGAAAATCGGATGTCGCAAAACGGAAAATAAAATCGAGATAATTTCAATAATTTATTTTTTACAATAATGTAGAATAATATAGAAAAATGCTGCTTTATTGTTGCGTTACTTTTTTTCTTGAAAACTATTATCAACGTGATTTATAAGAATTTCTAAAGCAGCGAGATCTCAGCTGCTCATCGTGATTACACCGGTTTCAATGCTTGGTGAAGGATGTTGATGTTTCAGTTGCGCTTCGATTTTTATTACGTCTCATCCGTGCAATTTTCCTCGGTACGTTAATGTTATAATCGATAGATGCACAGATCGTAAAGTTTACGGACGGTAGAAAGAAGACAGTTCTTAGTTCCTTGCTCTTATTCTCCTATAATTTCTGATGAGAAGATAAAGTACGCAAACGAGAAGGCGCGCAGTAAGAAATAGTAAGATGAAAAGTACAAATTAGAATCTATAATATATACATAAAATATTTTGGAAATATTGATTCTTTTTCTCTCAATTCTACAGACATTTACATGAAATTAGGAAGCAAACTTTTTTTTTTATCAAACATTTAATGGAACCCGATTATAAATTGTAAGCTTTTATTATTAAAACTTATATCTTAATGTTGCATAAAATCTGATATTATATCAAATTTCTATAAGAAATATATATAAGGTTAAAATAAAAGAGATTGAAAAAAATGCAAGCTTTTGTCATTATTTACATACATCTCTTTAAAGTTTACGAGATAAGATCCTCCGATTTTATGTTATATTAAACGACTCCATAACTAAGCTTCAGTATTAAAATTTACTTCCTAAGTTATCGTCCAAGATATGATATAACGACACCCATTGGTTCTCCTACAGTTTCGAAAATATCGAGCACGCAGCTAACTGGAACTGGTTCATAGAAACATCGCGCAGCGTTTATCGTCTCCTTATGCTCTAATCTCTCTTATTTATTACCCTCTTCCTCCTTCCTCTTCCTCCTTCTTTCCGCATGCGCACTCTACAAGCTAACAAGGAAATGATGTAAATATAGGTATATATACACATAAGAGAACGGGCGCATACGCAACGTGCTCCATGCATGCCTTCCTGCTGCATTTTCTTGCAGCTGCACGTGGGTGGTAATCAACCCGTTCGTCTCGCCAGTTCCTATTGTAATGAACGGCGGCTTCTTTCGTCCGCCGTTAATTAAGATCCATTTCCGCGGGAGCCACGAGATAACTGACTATTTCTCTTCGTTGCTCGATTAATGGTTAACACGACGACGGAAATTCGCTCCGCAAATTCAGATTTATCGCATCTTCTCGATAGAGATTGAAACCAATGTAATTACGGTAAGCTCAAATGCTCAAATTCCGTGCACGCAAATAAACTTCATGGAAATTATTTAATTAAACATGCTCAATCGAAACAATAGCAGTAAAATCCAACAGCAAGATATACTGTTCATAAGACTGTTTCTACCATCGGTTATAAAAAATTACTTCAATTTCTGCTTTATGTTAAAGAAGAATCATATGAAAATTTAAACGAAAGTATGACATGAAAAAAGAAATAATTCGTTGCCAATATAACATTTTATCAAATTTACTTACCAATTCATTGTATTAAATGTCATTTAATATTTTTTTTTTTACAGAATAAAAAAAATAACGTAGAAGTTGAAATTTGTATTGAGTACTTTCGCAACTATTTAATTTTCGTCAAAATAAAAAGAAAAGAATGTACATACGTCTGATACTTATAGAATCAATCATTGTCATCTTCTCAGAAATAATAAATTGTATTTCTACTGATCATTTAATTTTAGCCGTTTATATGTATCTTATTACCGGCATCAACTCTATAATAAAGTAAAGAAATGATAGGAGTGGAACTAACAGTAACTCAGAAGTAATGAGTGGAACGTCCACTAGGATCTTCAGGTGGATCTTATAACGAACGTGAGAACTCGTTGAAGTCGAAGGACAACTTGCTCGGCCGACCACGATAATTGATCGTACAAGAAATAGTATATCTGAAAGCATACAGCAGTCCCCGATCTCCGAAAAGCATGTCTAACGAATCACGGAATAAATAGAGATTAAATAATCGGATGATTGAAGACGAGATTATCATAAGAATTACAGCCCTTGTCCCTTCATAGATTAATAATACATCAAACAAAAAACAACTTTGTAGATAAATATTTTAAAAATCTTTAATAATTTGTAGCGTATTAACGTGGCATTTGACTTGATGGTAAAAATAAAAGAGAAAAAAAAAGAGAGAGAAAACAAATTTTCGAGCACGTGAGAGCATAAGCCGATTTACTGATATTTTTATTTCAAAAATTCCCAAAGGAGATTCGAAATGATAGAAAAATAGAAAAGAATGAAACGAGGATAATTGTATCATGAGCTCTCAACTAAATAACAAAAAAAAGCTAAAAGCTAAAAGCGGTTTTCCTTCTTCCTGGCCTGTCAACAACGAAATAAAATCCTAAATAGCCGTCGGCTGGAAGAAAAGCACGTGAAAAAGTGCTGAAAGCGCTTTTTCTCTCGAGTTGCTTGGATGAAGAATGTTCACCCGTGCAAAATGAAAAGTGGCAGCGTGATATCTGTTACCATCTTAAGTGCGAAAGAGCATAGCACATCTTAAACGGAATAAATTAAAACGTATAAATGTAATTGTACCATTCTCTCGGGAAGGAAGACAAGTGGGATTACCGGCTGTACTTACTGTCGCCTCGGTATCACTCCGACGTCTGAAATAATGTAAAAGTAAAACGTAAAGTGCGGCTGTAGAGGATGTAGAAAGCCCGAAATGGTCGGTAAACTTGTCCGAGCATCATCGCGAGAGTATCCCGTTCGCGCGAGGAAGCGCGGAAAAATGCATGGAAATTTCATGGAATAATTCACGCGCGAGTGGTAACAAAATTTTACCCTCTTCTCGCAGCTACCGCAAGCAATCCTCGGAGCGAAAAAAGCGAGATCATTATTGTCCCTCTCTTAATTTCCAGCAAAAAAAAAAAAGAAAATATAAAATTACCGCGATAAGCATAAATTGCGAATATGTCATCGACATTTAATTGCGATAAATCGTAGAAGCAGATAAAACGTAATGTCGCCGTGGATTACGTCCGGCAAAAATAAAATGGTGTCGACGAGAGTCTGCTCTGAATGAGAAAGCCGTTTGATGCACTTGCCTCGTTTCCCTCCCCCGGTCCCCGTCTATTCGCATCGCTACGCGAAACGAACGAGTGTATCGGGAGGCAGGATAATGTCGGGACCGTGTATATCGCAGAATGAACGGAACAGCGTGACGAAGCTAGAGTGGGAAAAAAAAAAAAAAAAAGACCGAGAAGAAGGAGGGACAACTAATTCGCAAGCCCTCCCAGGTGCCGGGCTTTTTGTCAGGCCATCCTCGCTCATCCTCGCGTTCATTCTACTACCGAATCCGTATAAGGAGTCCGAGAATGAGCGGAAGGAAAAGAAAAAGAAAAGGGAAGGAGGAGGCATTGTAAGTTTTGAAATGGCTTGTAAATTAAATCGATCAAATCGCCGATCAAATAGAGGGGGATCGCGAAATTTAAGCTCCGGATTTACGATAATAGGACACAGAACGCGGTCACCGCGTTGCGAAAAACTGGATCGAACCACATGGCCCTCTATTTTTACACCGTTAATAGCAACAAACGGTCGACGGGTGCGCGCGTGACGGTGACGATATCGAGAGCTGAGGATAAACAATTGGCCACTGTTGGCGCCATAAACGGTGATTTACGACTGACACGAGTGCGCGAACGCTCTCGACCTTCCATCCGTTCTCCATCGGTGCGCGATCATTATCTTGATAATCACGCACGAAGCGTATGAAAATCGTACGTGCTAACCGCGGTACTTATCGAGGTGTATTTATCGAGGGCAACATCGATAATAGCGGACGTCCTCCGACGTCGTTACGATCGTTACGATTCTCGTAATGATCGATGATATTTTTTTATTTCTATCGCCGCACTTCCACGCTTCGGTGATCAGCGCGCGGTTTTCCGCAAAGCCGCGTTACGACTTTTACGAGAGAAACTTCTGTAATTATCAGCTGTAACGTTCGCATCAACGTTCGTAATAGATACCACCGATCGAAGAAAGAGTGACTAGGCGAAGCCGTCGGCGTTATTTAATCCTCCGCAGGTAGAAACGCGCGAGGTAGATGGATAGCGTACAGAAAAAGAGATGAGATAGTAATTCGGAGGGACACGATCGTTAATATGCATTTTCACGTTACATTAAATCCTGAAAGAACTACCGCGATGTGCGGCGGTAACACGTGTCACACGTGTCATGCGTGACTAATCGCATTCTATGGAGATTTCTATTGTACGATAAAAAACGCACCTGCCGCTGAGAGACTTAAGAAAGGAAGATCGTAAGTTGATTTGGTCAGACTGGTGATCAGTCATCTCGCACAGCGATTATAAGATAGTATCCTGATGTCCCTCAACAAGATAAAGTAATTATTATATTATTAAGCAATTATTATACGGATAATTAACGTTACATATAATTATAATATTTTGATTACCAAAATAAATTTTTTGATTACCAAAATAAAATTTAAGTTTTAAAATGCATTAAGAATTTTTTTAGATTCCGATTAACGTAATTTTGGCTTTAAACGAGACTCAAATTTGTGCCTGTCTTTGTTCATTTAAGAAAGAAAGATAAAGGCAGATACGTTGATCCACAATAAGTATTTAATCTTTAAGTTGTAAGAAATTGACCGATCATAGTCGATTATAATTGGTCAATTTCTTACTTTTTAAAGCTTAAATCACCTATTGTGGATCGACAATTACATGTCTCGCTTAAAGCCAGAATAACGTTGATGCGACCGGGTCTTAGCGTCATATCATCTTGATTTTATTCTTTAGCGCGACAAAATAAATAGCAGTGAAATGGAATGGCTCGCTTTTCGCACGAGATAAAAGTGGAAATGGAGAAACTCACCCGGCTACCGGAGTCATCTTCAATGCTAATGCTCGACTGATGCAAAATCCGGCGCCGCCCGTGGCGAACCAAAATTTCACCTTTTGCTGAAACAGAAGGGAAAACGAATTAGTGATTCAAATTCGACGGAGATCGCGGGAGCCGCCGCTGTAATTATACGATACATTTTACGATTCGAGATCGGATCGAGTGATCGATCGTCGTTGGCGCGCACCGACCGCGCTCGACGGCCGTTATTAACCGATTAAGGGTGAATGACTAGCTTGATGAGAATTAGGAACCGGGATAGATTACATCTTGACGTATCATCGGATGTCACGCTACTTCGGAGGAACAAATTACGACGGAGCTATGATATTTCGGGGAGCTACGTTCCGTCAAGGGATTCCGCTTTCGACTTTTGCGCTTCGGAGAGTTCACGGAATTGATTACCGCTTCGAACAACCAATTGTGTAATCTAACTGACGATTAAGCCGATAAAGATAAATAATGAAATACAAAAGTTTATTGAGATGTGGGCACAGTGACGTAAAAGTGATAGTTGAAAAAATATACACGACGGTTATTCGCTGTCAAGAAGGTTATTCGCTGTCCGATCGGTCTTTTTCTCTGACCTGAAAACTTTGCTCCAGGAAACATTCTCCTGTACACGATAGACATATACGCGCGCACGCACACACGCGCGCGCACACACACACACACACACGCGCGCGCGCGCGTGCACGGATACGTGCGCGCGAGTGCGAAAACACAACGAGCCGAGGTACGAGCGATTTCTGACCGATTGCCGTGGCTGCAGGCTATTAAAGCCGGACTTCTAGACGGTCTAAGCGCAATCCATGCCGACCGATAGTATCTCAATACCGGTACAGGCCTGTAGAATCGTGCGGTACGCCTTTTCTCGAAGGCGTGGTACACGAGCGTGGTCCACGAGCCACAGCCGCACACGTGCGTGCGCAACGCGTTCGCAGATAAAACTGTCACGAGTTTTTGTTGTCTTCCAAGAGGATCGTGAATCGAAGTTTATCTGTACTCGTCATGCATGAAGGAACAATTTAGCGGGGAGCGAGATACCGAAGCAGATCTCACAATGCGAATCGCACGCTAAATTTAATCAATTAAATATATAAAAAAACAAGTTCCAGAGATAATTACCGATAAATTACCGCCTGATAAATTAACGCCTGATTCATCGTATAAATTTCGTTGTGCATCCATTAATTAAAATACTCATTTTCATAGAAATATTTGTACATTCTTGTAAAAAAAAAAAAAAAAAAAAAAAATAAATCGATTAAATCGATCAAAAAATCTGTTTACACAACGCTCGCTTATTCTACGATAATTCAGAATAATCATTTGCACAGAAATTGCCCGAGATATCTCATTTTTTCTAGCTTCAGAATATAATGTGCTATACTTTGAGCTCACAAAAAATGCCGCAAACTATTTGAGATAATCTACGGCCGTCGATGTTATCTTGGCATCGGACACGATACCGGCGTGCTCCTTTCCTCCGACTGGGTGTGGTGGAGTGCGGATGGCAGCAGAACGGCCACCACGGATATATCGTACGAGCGCACGTACCAAGTATATACGTGCATACACCTCGCGATATATCTGTAAGGTCAGCTGACAAAGCGATCGGCACGGCGTTACCGTTATGCATGTACAGCATACCTACGCCCAAGACGAGAGCGTGCGCGCGCGCGCGCGTAATGGTATAATCGCCCTCTTGCACTTTGAGGATCTATAATTTCGTTCCGCTGTGCAAGTAATAAGATGGCTAGTAAAGACCTACTGGACCGAATGACATGGCAGAAATTGCAACGATAGTATCGCGCCTTGCCGCGCCTCTCTGCGATTTGCGCATCGCTACAATTTGCACATCGCTGCGATTTGCGCGACTCCGATTCGCCCCGATATTCTTCCCTTTCGCGACTCCGATTGCCAATGCTCTCTAGATACCGGATCACTGACCTCATTTTAACAGCGAAATTCACCGACCGATCCCTTCTGCGATATCAATCTTTTCTACGGTAATTTCTAGTCTTGTCAATGCTATGCAATTAACTTCGAGCGGACTATAAAAAAAAGAGTATTTATTACTTTCTAATACAAAATGGTCTTTTCAATCACTTTCGGATTAATCTCACACATAAAAACACGTTTCATTTTTTTCTTCAATAAAATATTTATTCTCGTTGTACAAATATCGTAAAAACCTTCATTCCAATAACTTTATTTAAAAAAGATCAGTATATTTCATTTACAAATGTTACAAAAAAATTATCTCATTCGGTA